CAAAGCTTTGAAGGTGGGCCCAGGAATCTGTTTTAATAAGCCCTCCAGGTAGTTCTGATGCTTGCACCAATTTGAGAAAGTACCCTACAGCTTCTGTTTCATTTCACTTTTAGTCAAACACTGTGTTAGGAATTAACAGAAGCAAATATTATGTCCTTAGTCCTTTCTTTAGATATAAGTTTGTTGAGTTTAAAATATAATAAAAGGTAAACTAAAAGGGTGTACAAACCAGTGTTAATAACAGAACGAACCTAGTATGATTTATATTAGAAAGGGAGTCAGCATAGGTCTATATAATTTAGTGTAGTCTGGATTTTGTCCTGCAACATAATAGGAAGGTGACTGATATTTTACAAGCCTGACTTTTATGCTACTCTTATGCTATACTGAAATATGGTCATTTGTTGTGCATTATCAAGGTCTACCAGGTCCAGAAGGTCCCCGAGGTCTCCCTGGAAATGGAGGTACTAAAGGAGAGAAGGGAAACCCAGGCCCACCTGGGCAACCTGGCTTGCCTGGTTTGAAAGGAGATCAAGGACCACCAGGACTCCCGGTAGGAAATGGGAGTAAATATGTGATGAGAGAGGAGTATGGGTTTTTACATTTTAAATGAGACTTTTAAGCTGCATCATTTTCATTAGCACTTACTGAGCAAGATTCTATGCATGGCTCACTGGTGAATTCAAGATAAAGTGAAAGGCAAGTTTCCTATAGTTTCCCAAGAAACTGTTGTATATAGTTAAAGAGTTCCTCACAAGATACTTTATGTAGAGTCTTTGGTATATATAGTGCTTAGATTTAAAAAGCCTTCATTTCAGTGAAAGCAAATTTATGCAAAAGAGACATGTATATCACAGCATTGCATGTTGATGAGTCCACCTATAGGAAAATAATTATGGTAAATTGAGTGGTAATGTTTTAGGCTTTGAAATTAGAGTTAGGGTCAAATTTCAGTTTCACTGTACACTTCTGCTTTGTACAGTGCTTTGTCTATGAGGAAGACAGACACTCTGGGTTTCTGTCTTCATCTATAAAAGTAGAATAATAGCATATCCACTCTTGTCCTTTCTACATTGGTTTGCATAACTCAGAGAATCACAGTCTTCTTTATGGATCCTCAAAGCTATTTCTATTTATTGGTAGACTTGGCAGCCAACACGGTCTGGATTGTCTTTTAACTGAAGATTGATTTGTAGCAGAAAAAGATATCTACAGTCATGGTCCTTAAATCTTTTCAATATCTAACCTTTTTTTTTCTCATTTCATCACTATTCTTCTAGTTACCTATACTTAAAAATGAACAAATTTACTTTTCTCTTTATTAATTCTTTACTCACTCCATACCTCGTTCTTCTCCCATGTTCCTCTAGTTCACATGTAACCATTCCTGCATTCAAGACTACTATCTGATATGTTTTGTTCCATTAGTTCTCTCTCTTTGTGTGTATGTGTGTATAAATATATATTTCCTGAAACATTTGAGACTAAATTATATCTATAATGACCCTTATTTCCTAAGATTAAAAATATCCTCAGATATTATTACAAGATGACAATAAATGCTACTGAATTGTTTTTATTTTTTTTGTCTCATAAAATCACAGTATGGTTATCCACTTCAGAAAATTGAATATTGATATAATACTTTAATTTCTACCTTCCAAATTCTAATTGGATCAATTGACCTAGTAATGTCCTTTTAGTATTTCTTCCTCCAGTACAGGATCAAGACCAAATCGTGAATTACATTTAATTATCAGATCTGTTTAATCTCCTTTAATCTGGAGCAGTTTCTAAACCCATGTTTTCTACATGACCTTGACATTAAAAATATATATATTGTACCCCTCCCCTTCCAGTTTAAAAATAGAATGTTCCTTTTTTGTCTAATGTTTCTTCATATGGATTCAGGTTATGCATCTCCAGCTTTAATACTATATGAATAATGTTCTATCCTTCTCAGGGTAACAGATGAGATCTATGATGTCTGTCTGCCCCATACTTGTGATTTTAATTTTTTTTTTTTTAGTTCTTAGTATATGTTTATTTTATAGGTATAATATTTTTATTCTCCAATTCATTTCCTCACTTCATTATCATAGTTAATTAAACACTGGCATACAGACTTATACTTCTGCTATGAAGAATTAACTGCCATGGTACTTCTTTCTCACCAAAAACAGTGATTTTAATTTTGATCACCCAATCAAGTTGTTGTTCAGTTTCTCCACTATATTGTTGCTATTTTTTCCATTGAAGCTAATAAGCAAAACTATAGGAAAGCACATTAAGATCATGCAGATATACTGATCCCCATCAAAATTTCCCGTTAGGTTTTTAACATTTTTGCTTCAACCAGTCTCCACTGGAATAGTGGCAAATGATGATTTTCCAGCTTTAGCATTACCTCCACATATACCATTTGGCCTCCTTCTTCTTCTATTTGTTTATGTATTTATTATCAATATAAGCTTATGGTTTCCCATTCTTCCAATGATTTACAATTTCTAAAACTAAAATTACTTATTTTGATGCTCTCATTATCCCAGATTCGGAAGCCCCTTTAAACTGGATCCTTTGTCTCTCTGACATGAACTGCCCCTCTCCTTTTTTTTTTTTAGCAGTTTCTAATGTTTTGGCATAATATGATGTTCCAGGCTTGCCCTTTTTCATTCCTGCTAATATAAGCTTCATTCTCCTGTACTTGGACTAGAGCAATAGCCTCCTACATGATCTTGCTATTTTATATCTTTCCTATAGATTCATTCTAGAGCTGTTTTCAGTTTTTCTCCTTTCCACGCTTTTCATGGCCCTCTTAATTAATTAACAGGAGTTACTATACAAAGGGGGACTCCAAAAAACAGGAATTGTATTTTGGAGGGCAGGCTCCTTGTAGTACAGGCTTCCTCTGCTGGGTAACTGTTCTAGGAACCCATCAACATCAGTGCCCCAGCTAGCATTGTTATGAGAGGTTGAATGCAGTTTCAGTGAATTTTTTTTTAATGGAGATTCTTTCAACACATTTGCCCATTTCATGATGGATGATTTAAATGAATAACCTGCCCACACCATGCTGAATGTTCAGCAGTTTTTGACCAAAACCAGCATGATTCGCATGCCCCACCCTCCCTATTCACCCTATTTTACCTCGAGCAACTTTTTTTGCTTCCCTGGATGAAAAAAGTCCTCAAAGGGAAGCATTTTACCAGTGTGGAAGAGGTGAAACAAAAAAACAACAGAAACACTAAAAGGCATCAAAATTGATGAGTCCAAAAACTGTTTTGAGCAGTGGAAATAGTGTCTCCATAGGTGTATTGCATCAAGTGGAGAGTACTTGGAAAGTAACTGAGGTTTAAACATGTAAGAATAAATACACAATTTTTAATAAATAAATTCTGGGTTGTTTGGGCTCCTCCTTTATTTGTTAAGTATTTCAGGCTGTATCATTTCTCTATATGGGATTCTAATAAAACTTTTACTACCTCAGGTCTAGACTAAAAAAGAAATGTTTTGTTAATAATAAGATAATAGCTTGTAGTCCTAGCTACTCGGGAGACTGAGGAGGGAGGTTTGCTTGAGCCCAGAAGTTTGAGGCCAGCCTCAGCAACATAACAAGACATCATTGCTATAAACAAATTTTTTTAAAATAATAGTTACTATTTATTACATACATACCACATGTCAATCAATTTTCTAAGCATTTAATATTAATAAAAGACAATGAGATCTGCAGAAGAAAAAGGAAGAGCTTTATTTTCTATAAAAAACCATCTGTGGGTTGAGGAGGAACAGCCACCAGTATAAGTGAAAGTGCACTCTCTGAAAAACAAAGGGAGGATCTGGCTTAAATAGGGAAAGTTCTTGCCTGGGTTTTCAGTCAGGTCCATTTATGCAAACAAAGGATTCAAACTTCTTTAGTGCTGATTGATCAAAATACTTGAGCTATCTCTGCATGGGTTGCTTCCAAGCCCGAAACCAGAAGTCTCTGTTGGGTGTTCCTTTCAAATGGCTGGTGGAGGGGAGGATTCCTCTGCAGTTATCTTGACACCCACAACAGGAGCTGGTTTGGCTTCATTGTAGAAAGGGAAGTCCTGTGACACTTTTACATCTTTCTAAGAACACAAAGTATGTGACCTCTCTCTTACCTAGTTATGGCCAGCTGGTTCTGTTTTAACTTTGAGCATCTCAGTTAGGCACAGGGGGTTCACTTTGTCTGTTGACTGGGGGCATACTTTAACAGTATGGACTGTCTCATTAATCCTGTGAAGTAGATACCATATTAAAGGAGAAAACTATGGATCAAAGAGGTTAAATAATCAGCTCAATTCACACAAACTAATAAGGGAGAAAATTGGGATTTGAATCCTGAAAGTTTAACCCTAGAAACAGTGCTATAAACTGCTATGTTCTCACTCCTCTTCTTCTCCTTCCATTTTATTTTCTAACAGTGATTTTATTTATTCAGGGAAATCCTGGTCGACCAGGTCTCAATGGAATGAAAGGAGATCCTGGTCTCCCTGGTGTTCCAGGATTTCCAGGTATTTGAAGAGATTTGTGAGGTTTCCCTTTACATTCAACTTCTTTGGGACAATATGCTCATTTTCTGATTTCACTGGGTAAGGGTTATGACCCTTTTTCTTTGTCATGCAATTGTATGTATCTTCTTTGCAGGCATGAAAGGACCCAGTGGAGTACCTGGTTCAACTGGCCCTGAGGGGGAACCAGGACTTATTGGACCCCCAGGTAAGACTTATTCCTGAAGATAGTTATACCTGATACTTACACACATTAAAGAATTTAAGTTTTCTTTCTGTCTTTCAGTGAGACTGTCAGAGTCTAAGTCCCCAACAACTGAGGGGGGGATAGGCAAGACTCCTTCTATTTACTAATCTCTTAAACTCTGTTTTATTAAAATATTATTGATAACAATCTTTTAAAATTTAAGATGTATTCAGGATTAACAAAAAGGTTTCATTGAGATTTTTATTGTCTTTTGTACTAACTTTCCCATATTCAGTTGAACAGATCACACGAGCAAGTCTCATGTATGTTTGTATATTTTTATGTTAAAATAATTATTTTTGCTAAGAGGCTATAGAAATTTTTTCGTAAATTGTGAAATAGGGCATCTCCTAAATTCCCCACTAGTTCAATACGTCCCTTGACAAGCACAACAAATGAGAACTGCAAATGATGTTAGAATCAGAATGGACTTATAAGGGAATGAGGTTGTGTTTCCCTGACACCAGTGTTCACAGGTTTGTAATGGGTCAGACTTTCTAGTAACCGAGTAATGTTCATAGCTTGAAAATAGGGATGATGTGCCTAATTTTTCTACTGATCCTAAGAAACTTATTTGTTTTTTAGTTTTCCATTTTCTGGGTTAGATAATGGTAGTTTTCTCAAACAGATTTCTGTTGGATATGGCAGCACTCCAATACATATCATTTGTTTCTCTTACACCAATCTTTTTCTGACCTTTGGTCACTTCGACATCCATTTCTTCTGGCCTTTCTCTTCCCCTTCAAATTTGTGTGTGTGTTTGCCTCTTAGGTCCTCCTGGCTTACCTGGTCCTTCAGGACAGAGTATTATAATCAAAGGAGATTCTGGTCCTCCAGGGATCCCTGGCCAGCCTGGGTTAAAAGGTCCACCAGGACTCCCAGGACCTCAAGGCTTACCAGGTACCTTTGCAGAACACTTTTGAAGGCTTGTTTATTTGAGAACATTTTCGGGTTCTCCTTTGACATCAGAGTCTGTTCTGACAATATGAATCTTATCAAGTAGTAGAATATCAGACCACCTCAAGTTCATTTCTTCCTTTCTTGAAAATGCTAATTTCTCAAGACTGAATTTCTTTTGGGCCTCCTCAGGTTTCTTTTAGCTCCTTTGGCTATTCTAATTTGAGCAACTAGGTTAATGTTCAAAACCCTGTAATGAAAGTGCATTTAAGAGCTGGTGCGTTCTGTATCTTACCACAAGCAGAAAGATTGAAGGCTGATTTAGCGGGCCATCAGTTTCCCACCGTGAGGGCCCTTGACTTTTAAACTAACTGCCATTTAACTGGCCATTTGACTCTATGCTTATAGCCAAACTTGATTATAAAAAAAAAAGCTAGAACTAAGACCAGTTTTTCTACCTCCAGTTAAGTGATGGAGTGGCAATCTTACCAAAAAATAATGTATACCTGGCAGTAATTTATGGTGGCATAAATAACAAAGTTGGGACCTGCATTATGTCTGGTTTTGAAGGCAAAGAGAATACAACAGCTATATTAAGATACTCTCCTCAGAAGCAACTGTAATGTTTAAAACTAAAGCTAAATCCTTGTTTGCTGCTCTTCTCCTGGACTTGAGGTGTCGCTTCATGTATCTGGAGTTAAGACAAAGCCAGATTATGAACTCAGTGTCTCAAGAATCTTATGTCTCCTAGATCTGTCAGGATGTGAAATTATTTGACCAACATTTGAATATTCCATTTCTATTCTGTAGGTCCAATTGGTCCTCCGGGAGATCCTGGACGCAACGGACTCCCTGGCTTTGATGGTGCAGGAGGGCGCAAAGGAGACCCAGGTCTGCCAGGCCAGCCAGGTGAGATAAGTAAAACATGCAGTTGGTGGAGGTCATTAAGTCTGGGAGCTCTCTCTGGATATAGGACCTTCACTTGGAGCTGTAAGATATTCCTCTTGAGAGAGCATAGCTGGCTGGTGAATCTGGAGCTAGCAAAAAGTAGGAAGACACATATAAGGAGATTTGCCACTACAAGAGAAGATACAAAGGTTTCTTTTATTTGTGCATTTAAAACACTGGAAAGACCAGGCACAGTGGCTCAAGCCTGTAATCCCAGGGAGGGGAGGCGGAGAGGACTGCCTGAACTCAGGGATTTGAGACAAGCCTGAGCAACATGGCGAAACCGTGTCGTTACAATAAATCAAAAAATAAAAATTAGCCAGGCATGGTGGCACATGCCTGTGGTTCTAGCTACTTGGAAGGCTGAGGCGGAAGGATCGCTGGAGCCCAGTGGGTCGACGCTGAGGTGGCCGTGAGCGTGCCACAGCACTCCAGCCTGGGTGACAAAGTGAGACTCTGACTCAAAAAACAAAAACAAAAAACACTGGAAAACCCAGTTCTTTCTCAAGATGGGGATTTTCCAGATACTTACTGTATTTACCTCTTCAGCAAACTTTCAGTTTTGATTTAAATCTCTTGACCACCTTGAGTCTATTTTGAATCTTTCCATATTTGAAAATATAACAATAGGGTATAATTTTTCTCATAAAATGCTTAAATATAAATGGAAAGTCTAAGTGAGCCTCATAAACCTTTGAAAGTCACGGTGACATCTTATGCTGAGATGATAAATTGATATGCAGATTTTTTAGGTCACTCATTAATAGGTGTCCTGATAATATTGAGTCTGGTACCTACCAGATTTTCATGCTGTACTCAACCTACTTCCAAAAAGAATTCGAGTCAACTTGCAATACAAAATATACTAATGTTAAGATTACTAAAATAGAAATCGAAAATCACACACAATAACTTGCTAATATAAGTTAGTATATATTAACATATATGTGGTACACTAGATAATATAAATATTACTAAATATTAGCATGTATACTATATGTTAGATAATGCAAAGATAACTAAATAAAATAAACATAAAGAATTTGTATTTCAAATATTAGTGACAACAAGGCAGTGTGGTGATACCTATGGTCCTCCTAGAGCCAACACCCTGCCTTTTCATTAATGCTGTACTTATAGAGAAAAAACAAGTTAGTGTTACCTTCATCACAGGTGTTGCTGTGAGGTTTTCCCAGAATGAAGATCTATATACACACTGGCCAAAGACCTGTATATAAAGAGAATTTTTAAATAAGCTGAAATCAAGAGGCTAAATGGGGAAGAAGAGCCAGCAGTAGATTGAAAATAAGTATTTTGAAAAGGCTTCTTCAGAATGCCCTATTTTCTGCACAAAAAGGTATGACTGAGAATAACTCCCAGACATATTCAAAGGAAAATGTTTTTCAGCACTAAGACTAGCAGACTTATGGTAACTACACCCTTCTTTTCTCATTGATGAACAAAAGAGCAGGCTGAAATTCGGTCATGGGGTATAGACTCTTTTAGTACAGCAAGAGACTAGATAACACACAGGCTTCTCAAATAAGTATATCTTATTTGTTCCCAAGCCCATGATATCTAGCAATGCCTTTGATGACACTCTGTAAATATTGAATAAATTAAACAAATGAGGTCATAATGTATTGGTAGATTGGTAATAGTAGATCAAAGCTCACTTAATCTTATGTACTATTGATTTCACATAAATAGGTACCCGTGGTCTGGATGGTCCCCCTGGGCCAGATGGGTTGCAAGGTCCTCCAGGTCCCCCTGGAACCTCCTCTGTTACCCATGGATTTCTTATCACACGCCACAGTCAGACAACAGATGCACCACAATGCCCGCAAGGAACAGTCCAGATCTATGAAGGATTTTCTCTTCTGTATGTACAAGGAAATAAAAGAGCCCACGGTCAAGACTTGGGTGAGATAATCAACATCTAATTTCATACTATGCATTTTTTTAAAAGTCCTGTTGTTTTCTAGAGTTGCACTGGCCAAAGTGCCTCTCTCTATTCTTTTGGGACTTCCAAAGTGAAGACCATGTCAAACGCAACTGAATATATTCACTATGATTTTTAAATAAATAATATAAATTTAAACTTAGAGCATTAATTAGCTGTTGTGAGGTACAATTTTTGGCCTAAAGTAAGGTATTTTTGAAAGGGCCACATTTACTTTTAGTTAGCACTCTACAGTATAGCTGCTGCTTGGATGGGTAGTGTTTATAATTCATGGGAGATAGTTTTCTCAGAGACTGGTCTTCATCAAGTTGAAAGATAAGTTCTGAAGAGAATCTTGGTTCCTAGATCAAGGAAAGTGAGGCCATTGCTTAATTGTTAGTTTATAGCTCTCCAAATAATTGCCTTAGCTTATTAAAGTATTATCAGAGTAGTTTATACAAAGTACAATATTTCTGTACAAAATCCAGTTTATTTAAAGTGTCCCTATGTATCTTCTTTATACTGGAGTGGGCACCCTTGACTGATGAAATGAGGCTGGACTGGATCACACTCAAGAACTACTCTTCCATCCCCAAGATTTATTTTCCTGGAATTTTGACTCCGTATGTTGAGGCCCTATTGTTTGACCTAGGTCTGCCTATTTTAGGGTTCACTATCTCATTTACCTCCATAAAGAAATTTATGAAGATGATCTGGGCCCAAGTTTCTGGGGTCTCTATAATGAGAGGTTTCCTGAGGTCTCATTGGCTGGGTCATTCATTTTGTGGCAACAGTTCTGCAGCAGCAGAAACCCTAAAGGTCTGCTTGGTTCTCTCTTCTCCCAGGGCCACATCCGTCAGCCAATTTTAGCCCCCCAGATTAGGTCTGTTCACTTAAATGGAAGTCAATGATCATAGATCATTTTCAAAATAAAGTAAAGCTTTGCCCAGCATCTTTCTTTTCCATCTTCTACTTTTCTTCCTCTTATTTTCTTCCTCTTTTCATCTTTCCTTTGCTACCTTTCTCTTTTTTGCTTTCTTTATGCTGCATCTTCTTTTTCTAATTTTCTAATTGACAGATATTCATTAAGTTAATAATTCAATTATCTTTAGATAATTTTAATTAACTATTAAATATCTAAATATTGAATTAAATATCCTTAGATAATCTTATTTAGTTTTTCTCCCATAAAATTCTTTTTTGTCTGTTCTGCCTACACTGTCAGAGTCTAACTTATAACTAAACTTGTAAACTTTAAATCTCTTTCTGACTGGGTCAAGAGGAAGCATTAAAAGTTTTTGAGCACTATGAAATTCAAAAATGAAATGCAAAGAGAAAATGGGATCTACTGTCAGCATATGATTATAACTTCGCAGAATGCATGTTTTTGGTCAAACAAGAACAATCAAGCAAGAACAAAACAAGTCAAACAAGAACAACAAAGTCAAAAAAGGCACCTCAGAAGTCACAGTGATCTTGTTCTTGCTCTTTTCAATGATTGCAACTCCTCCATTGAGATTCCGAGCTCTTCTGTTCACTTTGATCCTCTCTTGCAAAAACTGCTCAAAACTGACTGCATCCATGTTTCCATCTTCTACAGGGTGGGTGCAATCAAGAGTGAACTTCAGAACCTGCTTCTTTTTTTTTTGTTCACCTTTGCCACAAGCTTTTTCATGGGTGCCGTGGTGGCAGTGAAGGCAGAAAGGAGTAATTTTCTTTTTAAATTACATTATAATGTAAAAAGTATTTTAATATCTATTGTCTAATTTAATTTTTACAACTATGACTAAGAAAAATATAGAACTTTTTTCATTTTATACACAAAGAAGCCGGCTGAGAGGTTAAGCAACTTATTAAAAGCCACAAAGAAAGTGATGAAGACTTGATTCCAACACTTGCCAATTCTAAATCCATTTATTTTTCAATTTTGCTATGTTGCCATTTACTCTCACATGACCTTGAGTCAATTAGTTTTTTCTAAACTATTTTTTTAAATATGGATAAATTAGACTAAATCCATGATTTTTCTCATGATGAACTTTTGAAAAGATTCTAGGCCCATCCTAAACCTATTGTATAAAATGTCCAAATGATTCTGATGATTTACCAGGCTTAAGAACTATTGGTCTTCTGTCAGTCAGCTTCAGTTTGAGATAAGCATGTCCCTTTGTATATATGAAGAATTTCCAAGTACACAAGTATAATTTTAAAGGAATCTGTTTTTAAGTCCTTGGATTTCATACGTACTTTTTCCTGAAGTCAATCTGCCTGTGAATGTGCTTTGGGTAATGTAATTTCCCATACCTCCTTTTACTGTCATACATCCCTCACTTTATAAAAGAGTCATACTGTGGTACATTGCCTAGAAGTGTGAAAACCTTTAGGAGACAAATCAAAAGGGACAGTTCAAAATAATGGTTTAACTACAAATAGAGTTGCCATTTGATCTTACAGTCTCACTACAGAGTATCTACCCAAAGGGAAAGTAATCAATATATCAACATTCACATGTTTATTGTAGCCCTATTCACGATAGTAAAGATAAGGAATCAAACTAAGTATCCAAATATGGATGAATGGTTAAAGAGAATATGGTATATACACACACACTAGAATACTGTTCAGTCATAAAAAAGAATGAAATCATGTAATTTGCAGCAACATGGTTAAAACTAGTGGCCATTATCTTAAATTAAATAAGCCAGACATAAAAAAACAAATATTGAATATTCTCACTTATATACAGAACTAAAAAGTGTGACGATATGGAGGCAGAGAGTGGAGAGATAGATTACAGAGACTGAGGAAGGTGAGTGGGAGTTAAGGAGGAGGATGAAGATAAGTAGATTAAAGTCTATAAGCATACAGTAAGATAAAAGGAAAAAATGCAATGTTTGATAGTAAAGTAAGACTACTATACTTTAAAAATGTGCTCAGATGATGGACATCCTATACATCCTGACTTGATCACCATGCATTAAATACATGTAAATAATTTCTCATGCACCTTATATATTTGAACAAAAAAAATAGTGGTTTTGCTAAAGTTTTCATGAACTGAAACTTTATAACTCACTTCTAATCCACCTCATTAAGAAATATGTTTCTGTTCTCACTCATAAGTGGACCTTGAACAGCTACCATATTACTATAAGAAAAGGATTGAAAGTGGTGGGAAACTGTGGGGAGGGGGATAGGAGGGTGGGGAAGTGGGATTGACAGTAGTCGATATCTGCCTGGGGAAGGGACACACCTTATCAAGGGTACCTGCATGGTGAATATTTGTATACCTAGCCTGAATTGTACCCCACAATTTTAAATAAAAATTAAAAGAGGAAAAAAAAAGTGTTCCTGTCCAAAATTAAATAAATACTATATAAATAAGTAAATTATATAAATAGGCCGGGCTCGGTGGCTCAGCCTGTAATCCCGCACTTTGGGAGGCTGAGGTGAGTGGATTGCCTGAGCCCGTAGGTTCGAGACCCGCCTGGGCAACTTGGCGAGACCTCATCTCTACAATAAATCAAAACATTAGCCGGGCATGGTAACGCACGCCTGTAGTTCCAGCTACTTGGAAGGCTGAGGTGGAAGGATCGCCGGAGCCCAGCAGGTCAAGGCTGTGGTGACTGTGAGTATGCCACTGCACTCCAGTCTGGGCGATGGAGTGATATTCCAACTCAAAAAAAAAATTATATAAATAAAAAAATTTTGAAGGAGAATAAAAGAAACATGTTTCTAATACAATACTTTTAATGTAATAATTATAAAAATTTATAATATGCATATTTACCATCAGTTGTGAATTAATACTAATTATAATGATGACAGGTAAAAATAAAACATTTAATATGTAAAACAGAAAGTTTTAAAAAGGTATTTAAAAATTTTTTTTATTTATCTAAATATGAAAGAATGATCAATAATAATAACTTTCAAAAATAAAAATATATTACACTAGGATAAAACTGTGTAAGAGTAGTACAGAACTATAATTTTAAATGCAAAAAGAACAATGTATAATTTTCAACTGTTAAATTTTATATAGTTTCTATATTGATTAATGTTAGGTTCCAAATCATTACTTTGGATACATTTTAAAAAGTGATATAAAAGTTTGCTTTTAAATATCAGTCTTCACAAAATACCAGAAATGATAACTAGCAGGGTAGTAATGTGGTTTGCAATCTTCCAGTCCCTTGTATTGCAAAGTGGATTTCAGAAAGGTGGGTTTGGAGCTGAGAAACGATAACTAATGTCTTAATACAAGCACAGTGTCAATTTAAACATCAAAAATTTAGATACCACATCACTTAAAAATGCGGTGAGGGTGTCCATCATTCTTCATTCTTTTGTGAGTAAATAAGAAAAGAAAGGCTGGATCACTATTAGAGTTAACCTGCATTGTCCCTACTATCTCCAAATTTTAAAGACTAGTGTCTTGTGTTTGTTTTTCCCTCACATTCTGACTTTTTCTTTTCTTTTGTGTTTCCTTTTTACTTATTCAAGTTCAAACCTGTCTGTGGTTGCTGTGCATACTGGTCAGTACTACTGCTATCCCTAGGCTCAAAGAGATTGCAAACCCACACAAGTTACATACTGGGGATGTGTTAGAAAAGCGGGAAGCCTGGAGTAAAAAAGTGTTGCTACGATATTGTAAAGACTCATGTGCCCATCTCCTGTACAAAATAAATTACTGAGTATTCTCCATAAGACACCACTGTTAGTAAGATGCATCACTAGTTTTAAAATGGCATTGGAGAATATCCAATGCACTACCACAATAAATGTCCACATATATGGTAAAATGAATGTTGATTTAGAAATGTTAAAGTATGAGGACATCTTAGAATTTAAGAAATAAAGTGTATTTATTACTTAAGAAATGCAGGAAAAAAAATTTTTGAAAGGCCTTTTGCTATTGCTGCAGAAGAAACTAAAGTATCATCATGATGCCGGTCTTCATTCTTTTCTCTCCAATTTTCCCTAGGTACGGCTGGCAGCTGCCTTCGTCGGTTTAGTACCATGCCTTTCATGTTCTGCAACATCAATAATGTTTGCAACTTTGCTTCAAGAAATGACTATTCTTACTGGCTGTCTACCCCGGAGCCCATGTCAATGAGCATGGAACCCCTAAAGGGCCAGAGCATCCAGCCATTCATTAGTCGGTAAGACTTTGATTTAGCTTTGACTTTTACCAAGTCCCAGTTAGGTTAGCTAGTCAGAAATGAGTCCAAAGCTAACAATTTGATGATATTCCTCCCAGATTAGGTAGAATAGAAGTACTTTTAATATTTAATTTAGTGTTTAGTTTGGTCCATATTTATTAAGGAACTACTTTTGACCAGGTTCCCCAACTCCATAATAGACATGGTGTAATACAGAAAGAACTCACATGAACATTTGTATACCTAACCCTGAATTGTACCCCACATCTTAAAAATTAAAAAAAAGAACTCACAGCCTATTCATTAGGTCAATACACATAAATTAATCTAATCATATCAGGCTTAGGCTAAGTGCTACAGCAGATATATTAAAATGTTACAAAAGCATAAAAAAGATGTTTAGTTTCAACTGGTGAAATCTGGGATGATTATATGGAAGAGGTGTTGTAAACTGGTCAGTCCTTGACAAATAGGAAGGACTTGAGGCATAGGCAGTTATAAAGGGGAAAGACATCCTAGGTAGAGAAAATGAGTATAGGTAATAAATTAATGTGCCTAGATGTAGTATGTAAAGGTTGCATAGAGAGAAAAGATTGTAATGTTAGCTTAGTCCCAGCTGGTAATATGCTTTCAGTGCCAAACAGTAGTTTGAAATCTATTTGATATGTAGCGAGGAGTTCCGAAAAATTTTTGAGCTACACTTCAGGGAAGTTTACAGAGCCATTGGTGTGTAACATGGATTACAGAAGGGATAGTCCAGAGGTAGAGAGACCAATTGGATTCAAGAGTATTTACTGTAGTTCTGATATGAGTGGATTGGAAGTCACAGTGGGACACATGTATCACATTATTAGGATAGATAGGTTTTGACAGTTGATTAGCTATAGAAAGGAGGACGTGATAGCTGAGATTTGAAGCATGAACTACTAAGAGGAGGGTAGTACCATAAATAGAGATTTCCTAGGGTTTTGCCACCTTGGAATCCTAGTTTAACTTTATCTCCTAGGAATGTTGGCATTTTTATTCTGAGCATGACCCAGGATTCCAGTAACCATAAGGATGAATCATTGGAAAGTCTATTTTTTGACATTGAATATAAAGATTAAAGCCAGTTCAGACTTAGTAGTAAGTTCATGGTCCCCTTTAATACATTTGCCCAAATACTTTGAGAATTCGTGTGTGTGTGTGTGAGAGAGAGAGAGAGAGAGAGATTTTTTTTTTGTCAGTCCCAACTCTTGGGAGTAAAAGGTCCTAAATGTATTATACATTATGTATATAACTTCCTAATTGGCCTCAGTCATATTTCAAGAGGTCTCCTCATGCTCTTTATTAATGATCTACTAGACTAGCTGTATTCATTCTGTTGCTGTTTTACTTTATTGTATAGCTCTCAGCCATATCTCCAAGTGCCTGGGCACCTTCCCAGCACTCTGGATATGTTGCACTTTTCCACATATGACCAAATGGTTAGTAAATGTCCTTTGGACCAAAAATAATGGGTGGAAATTGAAAAAGTATCTGATTCTTGTCTTTTCTACTTTACCAGACATTGTTCTTACCACAGTTTCAGCATTACTTACTAAATGTCTATCCTTCAGTTGGGCACTTTGACATCAAGCAGTATGTTCAGTACGCTAAGCTAAACTCTCATAGCAATTATGGCATTGTCTGTAGCAAGTATGAATACAAATCTAGGGCAGAATGAAAAATGAAAATGCATTGCCGTAGTTCTTCAGTTTCTTGAAAAAAGTTTACATAGTTTATTATGTATATTGGGAGACAGTGCTTATGCAAAAGCAGTATTCAAAGTGCATTTTTCACCTTTTCTCAACATTAAAGACATCTTAATGGGCCTCCATACCAAGCAGGCTTCCAAAGAAAAGGAATTGCTATTTCTCACATACTCACTCTGTAGATTATGTTTTCTCTCCCTTTTATGTACCAGATGTGCAGTATGTGAAGCTCCAGCTGTGGTGATTGCAGTTCATAGTCAGACCATCCAGATTCCCCGTTGTCCTCAGGGATGGGATTCTTTGTGGATTGGCTATTCCTTCATGATGGTATGAAACACTTTTCCTTGCCTTTGTCATTATGGCTGACCATCCATTGTGTCTACATTAATCCCTAGTATGAGTAATCTCTGCTATTTACATAGTTAAGAAGCTTGAACTTCTGTCCAAGCACTGTGTTCCCTCTCACATATTTTTTCGTAACATATTTTCATATTGTGTCTATTACTTTTGTTGACAACCCTTGTTGTGGAAACCATTCTCTTACTTCTGGCCTTAGTGTCTTTACTGGATTTGAATGTTTGGCCAAGATCAGCACACATTTTTGGATATTCACTAAGGTATTATGGCACATGAGTATTGTGGCACATTTTCCTTGTCTTTTCTAGCATACAAGTGCAGGGGCAGAGGGCTCAGGTCAAGCACTGGCCTCACCTGGTTCCTGCTTGGAAGAGTTTCGTTCAGCTCCCTTCATCGAATGTCACGGACGGGGTACCTGTAACTACTATGCCAACTCCTACAGCTTTTGGCTGGCAACTGTAGATGTATCAGACATGTTTAGGTAAGGTGCTTATGGCTTTAATTCAGGTCTAAGTCTTCCTTCAGAGATGTGAGGGGGAAAAGAGACAATTCATACGTGGTTTATCCTCAACAATTAGGAATTTATTGGATTGTATACTTTATTCTCACTTGTTCTCTTCATATACCTGACTCAGGTTATAAAAACAGACTTGATTAATATTAGGTAAGTGTGGTTTGTGATGGCTTAGTAGCAATCCTTCAATAACAAAATATAGAGCAAAAAAAAGTTACATGATTTGCTCAATAACAGGTCAGCAGCTATTCAATTAGATCAAGGCTGCCGTAGGAATTCAAGCTGTAGTCTGTGTCCTCTCCTCCAGACCAGTGGTCTCCTTTCCCAGGATGGTTAATTTAAAAAAAATTTTTTTTGTCAGGGTCTTACTCTGTTACCCAGGCTGGAGTGCAATAGCATGATCATGGTTCACTGCAGGCTTCAACTCCTGGGCTCAAGCAATCCTCCTTCATCAGCCTCCAGAGTAGCTGGCACTATAGGCACACACCACCATGCCTGGTTAACTTTTTTTTTCTATTTTTGTAGAGACAAGGTCTCACTATGTGGCCCTGACTGGTTTCAAATCCCTGGGCTCAAGCGATCCTCCCACCTCCCCCTCCCAAAGTGCTAGTATTACAGGTGTAAGCCACTGCACCCAGCTACTCATGATGCTTTAAAGGCTCTCATCTAAGTGTTTGAATGAATAAGTCTATGTATAATGACTATATGTATGTACCCCAGGATACATCAATCTATTGAATATTTTCAGTAAAATTTATTTTTATTTTTCTTCTTTTGAGTTATCATTACTTGATATTTTTCTTATGATCTTCATTATATATTCATGATCAGTTGCCCAGATCACTCTCATTCAATGAATATTAAAAAAATATATCAGTGAAAGAGAAAAAGATATCAGAAACAGAGGGATACACAAATATACAAAGATAATAGTGGTGGGAAGAAGAGTCACAAAATTACCTATGACCACGAATGACTCTTAAGCCATACCAATCACTGCTCTGGATCACATTTCTCAAAAAGAAGTCATTAAGTCACCTGGAGAGCTACTTAACACGAGGAGAATGTTTGGGTATAAATTTGAATCAATAATAGAATTACAATGCCAGAAAAGATGTATCTGATTGTCTTGTTTCTTATTTCGCAGTAAACCTCAGTCAGAAACGCTGAAAGCAGGAGACTTGAGGACACGTATAAGCCGATGTCAAGTGTGCATGAAGAGGACATAGCATTTTGAAAAATTCCTTGCGTGTTTTAAAATGTGATATATATATAAAATTCCCAAGATGCAATGTCTCATTCTCCCCATCTTAACCACTGCTGTCACCAATGGTGCTACTATATATGACCAAGAGGACACACTGACTAGTAACCACGAAGATTCAGATGTACCTCAGCAATGTGCCAGAGCAAGGGCTTTGTTATTTTTCTATGAAAGAAATAAGGAAATGAATTTACTTTTGGGGTCCAGAATGACTTTCTCCAAGAGCTATAAGATGAAGATTATATATTTTGCCTTGTTACTAAAATGGCACATTAAAAATTCAATTAAGAGGAGAATCATATTGAATAAAATAAAAGACTGCAGCTTGGGGGAAGAATTATTTTTCATGGTGCTACTAATCCTACTGTATCCCAGGTTTTTAATATAAAGTGTTAAGCTTATTTTGCTCTGTAAGTAAAGAACGTGTATATTGTGTAAACAGACTTTTAGCTCAAAATGTTGAATCATTTAAACATGACCTGGCATGAATCACTCTTTACAGAAAATATAGGAAACCCTAGAATACAGAGAGCAAGACTGTATATCCATGTCTATTAAAGCTAGAAAATTTATACTCTTGCATCAAGTTACTGCTGACAGTAAAATTATTTTTAGTTTTATCCCTAAATTCTTCTTTGATTTTTTTCAAAAAAATTTTGGTCACTTTAATTGGAATTTTAAATGTTCATGTGACATACCAAGTTATAAAGCTAATGGAGCAATTTCTCTTTTGTTGTATTCCCCAGAACTCTCTCTTAAGACCAGATGCCACCTATTTTCATATATCACACATCTTGTTTTTTTGTTTTTTTTGTTTTTGTTGTTGTTGTTGTTCATTTCTGCCTGGCAAAGTTCTCAACAATTTTGAGGAACAAAGGTACACAAAAAATTAAAAATTCTCTTCCCTGTGCTTCTTATGTAAGATTTATTCTCCTATGGTCTTTGCTTGTACAAGAACTGGGAAGACAACATTGGGTTAGTCTTCTTTCTTCAATTACAAAAAGCCAATTAATGTTTCTTACTCTTTTTAATTTTAAACATTTTATTATAAATAGTCATAGGAAACTTTATCCCCCCTACTGTCATCTTCTCACTTAATGTTTTTTAACCCACCAATATCATTATAATTAAAGACATATGTTGTAAGGATGGTTTGTTGTGTATCTCTTAAACCTATATGTAAAAACCTTCTCATTTACAGATAGTCTGTACATCTGCACATGAAGAAGTGGTCCTTTCCCAAGAAATTGGTTTCTGTGGACTTTGATCACTCTGATAGCTGACAGAAAAAAATATAGTAATGTAAACTTTTTCCAACGAAGACAACAACCTAATGGATGATATTTTTGAGATAATAAATTTCTTGAATACATTGTGTTGGTGGCTGAGAAAAGGAGCAGAGATACTTTTTGGGGAATAATTTATTAATGTTTAACTAGACTAGTGAGTTAATATTTCTAATGATTAAGAATTAACACATGTAACTCTCTAAAATAGTCAAAGACTTGCTAAAAATGAGTCACTAAAAGCCTCTATAATAAAATTTGTGTTACAGCTAAAATATAAAACAACCAAAAACAATTTTGAGAATATTAGATCCTAATATGAACCCATGTGAAATCTAAAGCTTAGAGTCTGCAGTGGTAAAATATAGGATACAAACAATAACTATCTAATCATTTTGTTGATTTTAGCTAGCCAATTGCAAATTTTAGCCTTATTTTTCTATGTAGCCCCATGTATGAAAACACTAGTGAATAATTGTAACTGAAAGCACCATATTACACCCCTTAGAGTTTTCTACATGGTGTATACTCAAAGGTTGACCCACAGTTACAGTTGCATACACTAGTTTCAAAGATTTTGCTGTTTTTAGCTTTTCCTCTCATTTACAACTGACTGAAAACCTTGACTCAAAAAGAATCTCCTAACTTTTAAATGTTTGCATGTGTGGTTAGTCTGTATGTTTCTTAAATCCCCTAACTATCCCCAGCCCTGCTTTTTTGTTTGAAATATACAAATCCAATCAATAACAGAACCTTAATGTTGTTGATCCTTCCTTGCCACTGATTATGCAAAGATTAGTCTGATCTAGCTGCTGTAGTAATTGCCTGTGGTGAGTTTTATAGTCATACACAGTTAATGGTTTTCCCATGTTGACAGAAAATGAATGAACTCTTCTGCTTAATCAGATAGTTTAATTACCAGAGAGTTATGTGTACCTAATGTGGTTTTACCAGTTAATGAAGCGCTCATAATTCAGATGTTACTTCAGGACTTAAGATGTTACTTAAGGACCAGATTTTAATATTCGGTAGCTGTGTGTGTGTGTGTGTGTGTGTGTGTGTGTGTGTGTGTGTGTGTGTGTGTGTGTGTTGTAAGAAGTAGAAGTAGACATTTCAATAGCTTTCATAGCTTGTTGGCTTGGTCTACAGTCCAGTGCCATGTTGGTGTCACAATCATTGCTTCCTAAGGTTTAATAGGACACCTTGTGATTAAACAGCATCTTTTCCCACCCAGCCAAATTTGAAGATCACTTTCTAGTTCATGTGGTAGCAATGAGATTCTTTGCCTCAATGTCATGCCAAGCCATCAAAAGTTTATTCAGAAGTTTATCACAAGAGGGCACTATTGCCTATACAAATGAACCAGCATGTGTAAGAATTTGTTGAGCTCACGGGTGGTGGTGATGGTGTTGTCTAAAGTCCTGCCTCCAGTTTCATGTATTCTTTCTGCCTCATAAAAATCAATAGCAAATGTTTTAAGAGGTGACCAAGTTTCTCAATGTCTGCATCCAAAATGAAGGAACAATTTTGCTTTCAAAAGTCTCCCTTTTAAAAAGCTTGATTGCCGGGCTCGGTCACTCAGCCTGTCATCCCAGCACTTTGGGAGGCTGAGGTGAGTGGATTGCCTGAGCCCAGGGATTCAAGACCCACCTGGGCAGCTTGGCAAGACCTCATCTCTATAATGAAATCAAAACTTAGCCGATCGTGGTAGCGCACGCTTGTAATTCCAGCTACTTGGAAGGCTGAGGCGGAAGGATCACCAGAGCGCAGCAGGTTGAGGCTGCAGTGGCCGGGAGCGTGCACTGCATTCCAGTCTGGGAGACGGTGTGAGACTCCAATTCAAAAATAAAATAAAATAAATAAAATAAAAAGCCTGATTAAGAGTTGGCTCTGGTAGCACTTCCAGTGCCTCTCAACACAGAAGCAAAGAGCCATCACTTTTGTTTGACCAGTACTTCAATTGGTTTCTTTGGCAGAGAAATTCATTTCTCAGGCTGGACTATATAAACACCTTCATTTTTAGACAGCTCTAAAATAAAATAATATTTTGAGATCATATACCATTTCCATTTTGGGGCAGTGGTTTTTAGAGCATTTTCGGGGTGCTTGGAAGATTTGTGTGGTAGAAATACTCCAAAATTGAAATCAAATGTAGATAGGCCTATTTCTTAAGTTCTGCACCAACAAATATTCATTGAATGCTTTTCAGCTGTAGGACAACATGATAGCTAGCAATCCAAAATCAATTCTATCATGAAGATATGTAGTCACCATAATTAAGTACTCATAATGTTGTAAATAGGTTCTCAGAAACAGAGACTTCAAGCGAAGCAGTGTTCAACATTGTTTAGTTACAATGTTGATGTGAAAAAATAAGGGCTTCCTTACATGTCACTTAAAGTCACTGTTTCCAAGAACCTATCTATGGTGTTACATGAAGACTTACTGAGCCAGGCTCGGTGGCTCAGCCTGTAATCCCGCGCCTTTGGGAGGCTGAGGTGAGTGGATTGCCTGAGCCCGCGGGTTCGAGATCCGCCTGGGCAGCGAGACCTCATCTCTACAATAAATCAAAAAATCAGCCGGGCGTGGTAGTGCATGCCTGTAATTCCCGCTACTTGGAAGACGGAGGCGGAAGGACCACCGGAGCCCAGCAGGTCGAGGCTGCGGTGGCCGGGAGCAGCCACTGCACTCTAGTCTGGATGACAGAGTGAGACTCCCACTAAAAAAAAAAAAAAAAAAAAAAAAAGACTTACTGGATATACTCTCTGGAGAAGAAGCATGCCATTCTAATTTTGACTACCAAACCTTACTAACTACAGTCCAGAGTAGGATAAAAAAGGGGCTTTTTGCCAGAGTATGTGTCTAGAGGAAGCTGGTTTACTAATCTGTTCCCCAAAACACGGATAGGCTAAAATCACATTTATGTAACCCCAACTCTATTTCTTTGAGTCCACAACGTGCCCGACATCTGACCCAATAGGATAACAAATTGCTGACACACCACTTTACTCCAGATATCTTCTGTTTCCCCCTCTAGAATCACATCGCATACTTCACTCTGCTTTTTGCCCCAGAAATTTCCTAAGTTCTCTGTCTTCTGGTTGGGTTCAACTAATGGGATGCCCCAGCAGGACAGCAGAAGAAGGAAAAGAGAGTATTTATTTATTTACTTATTTTTTAATTTTTATTTTATTTTTGAGTTGGAGTCTCACTCTGTCGCCCAGACTGGAGTGCAGTGGCTGCTCCCGGCCACCGCAGCCTCGACCTGCTGGGCTCCGGCGATCCTTCCGCCTCAGCCTTCCCAGTAGCCGGAATTACGGGCATGCGCTACCATGCCCGGCTGATTTTTTGATTTATTGTCGAGATGAGGTCTCGCTGCCCAGGCGGGTCTCGAACCCGTGGGCTCAGGCAATCCACTCACCTCAGCCTCCCAAAGGCGCGGGGTTACAGGCTGAGCCACGGAGCCCGGCTCTATACATGCTAATTTTAACCAGAGTCATATGGAACCTACCAAGAAGTGAACATTCTTTTCAGGTAAATTAGTTTTCCGATTGACTTCTTCAAAACCAGTAAAGTGCTTGCTGTCACCAGTCTGTCCTAAGCTACAATGGTAAACTCCAATGTCAGGTCTTTGTGTCTCTCTGACACAATAATTTGACCTTTTCGTGGGGTCTAAGGAAGACTACTTCCAAAGTTGGGCATGGTGGCTCATGAGCTAGGAGTTCAAGGCTACAGTGAGCTATGATTGCACCACTGCACTCCAGCCTGGGTAACACAGTGAGACCCCATTTCTAAAATAAATAAACAAAACAAGAAAGAGCAACATGTTAACATCAGTTTGTTAAATATCATGATTCAGGAAGACTACTGCTAATGCTTCAGTAAAAATAAGAGTAGCACCTCATATTTATATAGTTCTTATTAAAATGTCGTTCTTCACACATTGCATCTTAGTCTCTATTTCTCTGTATTTAAGTGGTACAAAAATCTGTCTCCAATTTATAGATGCAGAAGAGCTGACTTTCCCAAGGTCACAGGACAAAGTACTAAGTTCTTTTCACTCAAAGTCTAATCATCACTTTTTAATCATGAAGATATTGTCTCAAAAAACTCAGAATGCTGTACAGTAGAGATTCATTTCGCTACAGGGGTCTC